TTCACATCTCAAGCAACCCAGAATTTTTAGTATCCTAAATAAAAATCTGGGAAGTGTGAATTGGTGCACTGGTTATTTTAAAAGGGATTAGAAGAAATTGACTTTGGAAAATTCTCCATTCAGTTGCTAGCATCATAATTTTGTATACTTTCTTGAAATGACTGCTTTTCTTTCTATGGTTACAATATGTATTATTATAAAAGCCTCTTTTTAATTTAGATACAGCCCAGATGTGGTATTTTTACAGGAGGTTATTCCTGTATATTTAAGTTATCTCCAGAAGAGAGCAGTCAGTTACACAATTATTCCAGGTAAATGAAGTTATCAACTTAATGCATAAAGTTATAGTAGTCACTCTCAACTTAATGTGGCAACTGCAAATACAGTGATATTTTTATGATACTGTATAATGTCACTATATAGAACCGCAGAAAGTTGATTATACCAGCTTCCTAGGAAGAGGTAAACTGTGGTTAGAATGCATAAATGTGAGTTAGTGAATTTTAGCCTCATTTATCCGGTGTGGCTGTATGTACTTCAGAAATTCTTGCTTTTAGCTAATTGCAATTTATCAGAGACTAGAAAACATGTTGTTAATTTTGACATATATAATCTCTTAAAACTTTTGTGAGAACTTTCCAGAATACTCCAAAAGTTGTGTACCAGTTCACTGTAGAATTAAAATGGGAAATTATTAAATGTATGTGAAATCACTGGATTAATTGTGCTTAAATAATATAAATTAAATCCAATTTACTTCCTTATCCATGCATAGCTTGGGGATTGCAGGTTTCAGCTTCCCATGCAAAATCCAAGTGTAGTCTTGGTCCAAAAAATGTTAAACTTTATTTAAATGGGGTTAATTCAAAATGAGACATGAAAATAATGGTGCATACATGTCTGAAATTTCTCCAGTTTTGAGGCTAGTGACTTCTATTGTGTGGAAATTCTGAGTGAAATGCCATGGTGTTGACTTTCCTTTCCTTTTTTTTTTTTTTTTTTTTGACCATCTTGTCTCTCCAGGTAATACGGATGGTTATTTTACTGCCATCATGGTAAAAAAATCAAGAGTAAAAGTTTTAAAACATGAAATAACAATTTTTCCTACAACCTGTATGATGAGAAATTTATTAGCAGTATACGTAAGTGTGTTTTACCTCAGCTTTATGGAGAAAATTGTTTGGCAGCCTAAAGTGAAGATTTTTTTTGAAGCAAGTTAATGGGACATTAGTAGGGAAGGAAGTGGGTATTCTCACTATTAACTTTAAACTGTTATTTTATTTTCACAAGTTAGCTTTGTATATTTGCTCTTTGTATATAGAATATAAATTTGGAGAAAATCAGAAAATATGAGAACTTTTCTGTCATATTACAAGGGGATTTAAAAGCTAAGTTTTCACTTATTGTAATATTCAGTCTTAGTTCACAACTAAGTTTAAAACAGGTTAGTTCTGTTATAGTTTAGCATTATATGTGAAACAACTATACTAGTGTTTTGCATTGTCTCTTACACTTGACAATAGCTTAAAAATAAGTATCCCATTACTATCCTGCATACTTAGGAAAAAACAATGGACTGTGGCTTAAAAGGTCACTATGGATATATTAACTGGGGTGACCTTTAGTATATTAATCAACCAATTCAGGGGCTCTAAAATGTGAGCTGTGACCACCTAGGGCAGTGGTTCTCAACCTGTGGGTCGCGACCCCTTTGGGGGTTGAATGACCCTTTCACAAGGGTCGCCTAAGACCATTGGAAAACACATATTGAACCGAGGCAAATAATTTTATGGTTGAGGGGGTCACCACAACATGAGGAACTGTATTAGAGGGTCGCGGCATTAGGAAGGTTGAGAACCACTGACCTAAGGAGTTGCAAAGAAATTTGAGAGGGTTGTGCTCATTATCGTTGTGCCTGTGCACGGTTAATGGGCTGTTGGCTTTGAACGGGCAGCATATAAGATCCAGGCAGAGGGATTTGTCTTTGCCACCATTCTGCCACAGCCTAATTCTAAGTGTTTCCCAAGGTGACCCCCTAAAATCAAGGCACTCTTACCTACTTTCATATTCCACTTCTATGCAAGAAAGTGAAGCCCCTCTGAAAAGCTAAGCAGAGTTGGGAAGCGGTTGGGAACACCATCATATATATATACCTATGCTACTGAGTGGGGCTGGGAAGTGAAAGGACCTAGAGCTGGGGTCCCCAAACTTGGCAACTTTAAGACTTGTGGACTTCAACTCCCAGAAAAGCTGGCTGAAGAATTCTGGGAGTTGAAGTCCACAAGTCTTAAAGTTGCCAGTTTGGAGACCTCTGACCTAGAGAGTCCACTGGACCGATGGATCTCTGGGCATGATATTCCCTGCCTAAAGGGGGAAAAAAGCAATTGGGAAGTATCTCTCTTGGATCAGTGCTGCCTCTTTGGCGGTTCTAGTCCCTAAAAATTCAAGTCAAGGCCTAAGAAAACAAAAAGAATACTCCTCCAGCCCAAGGGCAGGAATATTACACAAGAGGATGGAGCTTGTGGGCAGAGCTTGCTTCCAATCAAGCAGAATAACCAAGGATTCCAAGGCTGAGCCTCCTTGGAAGCAGGGGGGAGGAAGTGATTGGCAGCAGATTAATTATTGTAGGTGATCATATAACCTAAAATAATTATAGCCTGGATTCCCATTTAGTTTCAATTTAAATTAAGGGCAGGTGGATTCACAAGCTTTCAAAGGCTTCATTTTTGTGATGATCAAAAATAAAAAGTGGAATTGGAGAGCTGAGTAAACAAAATCTATTGTTTTCAGGCTTGGCAATTGTTTTGTTTTTAAATCAGGTAAACATTTCTGGCAATGACCTGTGCCTGATGACTTCCCACTTGGAGAGCACTAAGGACCACAGCGAAGAGCGTTTGAAACAGTTGAAACTGGTGCTTGCCAAAATGGCAGAGGTACCCGAGTCAAGTTCTGTGATTTTTGGAGGTGATACAAACTTAAGAGACAAAGAGGTAAGTTAGGACAAGTGCCTTCCTCCCCCGCCCCCCCCAGATCCTGTTTTTTTTTTTTGGCACCTTCTTTCCTGGTATCTACACATAGTCCTTAAGGTGCTAGTTGGGACCAGAACTTCCAACACTAAGCAATGTGGTTATAAAGTCCAGTGTCACATGACTGCATTGCTTAGCACTGGCAATCCCTGTTGCCATCATTAACCAAATCCCACCAGTTGTTAGTTGAGGGCCCGCTCCAATCCAAGCTATTCCAGGCTGCATCCCTCCCAGTCTCAAGCCTCTGTTCAGGGTAAGGGACTGCCTCCTCTCCACTACTACCCAGCTATCCCTCCCCATCTTTGCCCTTTTGGCTGCCCTGTACAACAGCAGCCCCAGAGCCACATCACTCTGGGGCTGCAAGAAACTTCTAAGGCGCCAACAGCCCCCGTCGTGCACTGGAGCATAAAGCTGGGAAGCCCCAGCTGCTCCAGGAAACATCTGCAGCGTGGTGCAAAACTGCAGCCCATCAGCATGGCTCAAACCTCAGCTTTCCCAAGAGCCCCAGCCACCCCTGCAGTTGTGGTGTGAAGCTGCAGCCCAGCAGTGCAGCATGAAGCTGCATTTGCCCAAGGGAGCCTCAACCCAGCCCAGAGAACCCTTTTGCAGCCCCAGCCTGCTACCCTCACCCCAGCCCAGCAACTCAGCCCCTGGATGACCTGCAACCCCAGCTGACCTCCACCCTATTTTTGCTCTTGCTCCTGACGGGTCAATGAGCGATGAGAGGCCATTTTCCCCAGGTCTTGTGAAGAAACGGCCTTAGGAAGGAAGCCTTGTGCAGCCCTTAGTTGCCTTACGAAGGGTAAGGCCGGGCATGCTGGATCAGCAGCAGGAGCAGGAAGATGGCAAAGACCAGCTAAGGTGGCAGTGGCTGTGGAATGCAGGGCACCAAAAAGGCATAGACAAGCGGGGGATGGATAGGGGGGAGCTGAAGTACCTCTGCATTTGTAAGAGTAGGTGGACTGCCAGATACCTGAAGTTTGATCATGTGACCACAAGGGCAGTAGCCTTGGGTATAAGTCATACATAAATCCCTTCACTCAGCACTGCTAAAACTTCAAACAGTGATTGAATGAATGGCCATAAGTCAAGGACTATTTGTATAAAACAGAAAAGGTATTTTCCCCATATGTAACATGTGTTTTCCCCCTCTATGAATCATTCATATTCTTTACTGAGCAAAATATTGTTCATGGTTACAGATCTAGATGTTGGTTGTTGCAAAACTATATGTTCCCAGTTGTGTATTCCAAAATTACTGTTGCTAAGGTCACACACACACCCCGCATCTGCTTGATCACTATTTGTCATGCCCCTGGTGGAGACTGACTCTAAAGAAGAGGAGGAACAGCCAACAGGGAGTGGAAGTGTGGCTCCAGAGGTGGTGGAGGAGGCTGGGGAAGGACAGAGGCCGGCTGAGCAGTCAGAGGAGGACCCAGGCCCATCCCCTATCCATCCTAGGGCACGCAGGGAGGAGAGGATCAGGGTAAAATGTGGTCTACTCAGGAGGAGAGGGCCATGATCCTCTTCATGGGTTGCAGGTGTGAGATTTGCATAAGAGTTTGGACCTGCGTGCTAACAGACGCTGGAGACAAATTAGTGTTTTATTCCTAAGGAAGGTTTATCTTGGTTGGCGTTCTTCCAACAGACTGTACCTGGTTATCTTCCTGAAGTTGGCCATTATCTATCCTGGTCTGTCGAGGAACTTTATTCAGTGCAGTTTGTTTTTGGTTTTTGTTTCGCTATCGGCTCTTTGTGAACTGTGTTTCTTGCCTTTGAAATGTTATTTTGAAAATAGTTTACTCCTCCACTGTGAACAATTAAACAGTGAAGCCAAGTTGAAGGCATTAAAGGACTTTTATTTACATTTTGGTTTTTGTTATATTTCTGAGATACTCTGGATCATCACACTATTCATTCTTCTGGTAGGATGGCCAGATCACTCATTCTTTGATGGCTAAAAGCATTTTTCTTAATGTAATCCTGGATTAGTTTGCTAGTTTGGTGTAAGGTTAGTTAGCACTCCACAGTCCAGACATAAGAACCAGCCCATACTTAGTCAAAGGCATGAGTTTTGTCTTCAAATTGATGCACAATGACCAGGAATAAATATTGATCTTCAAGTTGATAAAGATCACTTGGATAGGGCCACTGATTTTACAGACAGCATGAGAGTGGATTACTTTAGAACAGCACCCACCAACCTTTTGGGCACCAGGGACCGGTTTCGTGGAGAGAGGTTTTTTTGTGGACCGGAGGGGGAGTGGTTTCACATGCTGCCTGTATCCCATGGATGGGGCTTGCTTGCTTGGCCCGGTTTCTGGCATGCCGTGATCCAATGCCGGGCCACGGACCAGAGGTTAGGGAGTCCTGGTTTAGAAGACGGGTGTTTTTTGCTTTTCTGAAATTCTGTGTTAGATAATATTGTAGTCCTCTGACATATCAGAAGAAAACATAATTCAAACTTGAAAGCAACAAAATTACTATGTTTACTGTTCTCTTATCACTTTCTGCTCTTATCTTTATCAGGTTGCTAAAATAGGTGGCTTACCTAACGAAGTTTTGGATATTTGGGAGTTCTTGGGCAAGCCTGAACATTGCCGGTACACATGGGATACAAGCCAAAACAGTAACTTGAATGCAAGATACAAGTACAAAAGTCGATTTGATCGTCTGTTTTTCCGAGGTGCAACAGCTGGTGGACAAATTATTCCTCAGAGTTTGGATTTGATTGGTCTGGATAAACTAGATTGTGGCAGATTTCCTAGTGATCATTGGGGACTGTTTTGCAATTTTGATGTGATACTGTAAGAGGAAAACATTTCACTTTTCTGTTCTTCAAAATTTTAAACCAGTTCTAATGTTAATTTTGATTCACAATCGTGTAAACTAAACAGTTCATTTTACTTGTTCGGGGAATTCTTGCTTAGGAAAAGTGAAACATTCCATTTAAAATATTAAGATCTCGTGCAACGCAGAAGACATTTTAGTTAATTTGTGTGTGTGGGGAATTGTTTTATGTTGTATATATTATTCAAAAGTTAGAATAGAATAGTTTATTAAACACATCATAATTTGTTTTTAATAAAGAATCCTTGTGTGTCCCCTTTAATGACACTATGTTCTAGTAGCTGAAATTCAGGGAGAAAATGATAGATTATAATTTCAGTACCATTAACACATTGCTGGAATATCCTCTAATTCCTAGTTCTTCCCAAGAAGCAAGCGTTGCTATGAGTGAACACACCCAGACCTGTTCTTCACTGCCCCTAACTTTGGTCCCACTGCTGTTTATTTGTTCCCTGAGCTTTCTAACAGAAAAATAAATCAAAAGTCAAGGAAGCCTCTTCTTCATGTCATACTTCTTCCAGGAGAGTGTAAGGAATGGGGCCAACAGTTTTGTTCATGGCAGAAAGATGGGAGGGACACTGAAGGAGAGACTTAATCAAAGCAAGGGCTGAGTTATAAAGGAACAGGGTTCTTCTACTATTCCTGTTTTCAAGCCGAGGCTTTGATTAGTAGAGCTTATGGCTCCACTGTTAACTGTATTTTCAACATTTTCAGCTTTCTGATTAGCTAACAGTCCCTTTAATCGCTGCTGCTAATATAGGATATTCTGTTATATGGAATCTTAGTACCTTATTCCTTAGTCTAACCATTAGATGGGTATGAAAGGAATGCATATTACAACTGAATGGAATTGAATGCTTTATTTGGCCAAGTGTGATTAAACACACAAGGAAGTACAGAAGCAGGGTAGTTGCGAAGTAGTGGAGAATAACAATAAAAATAATAACGCAAAGAAAAGGAGGAACTAAGGAAGATAATAAGATAAATAATACTACAGCCACATTGTATGTGTTAATACAGAGATTCCCAACCCCCGGGCCACAGTCTACTACTGGGCCTTAGCCTGCTTCAAACCGGGCTGTGTGAGTGATGAGCAAGGATGCGTACACTTGCATGTGCAAAGCGCCAGTCGCGAGAGCAGTGGGCCCTCATGCTCACGTGTGAAGCTCTACTTGTGTGAGCGGAGGGTGCTTTGTGCACAAACACCCTCTGCTCCAGCACAAGCTCCATTTGTGCAAGCAGAGGGCACACACATGCACTGCTCACATCAGTTAAGCTACGCCTTTTTAATGATGGTTGTAATGTGAAGCCTCCATGGGAAACTATAGAACCCCAAAACGTGAAGGATGCTACTGCTGCTACCGTGTTGTCAAATAGAGTAATAATAGAGTAATAATATAGTGAACCATTCTGTATTAAAAACACTCCGATTTGCTGGCTTTCTATTCTGAGCGATATAGCTTTACCAAAGGCAAGATGCACTAGTGAGGATGTACAGAAAAAGTATGAACAACTCACTTCTACCGGAGCATGCGTTTATCCATCAGAAGACTCAAATCCACTGTCACTGGCACAACATCTGGCCAATAACTTTAACTTTCATTGCTAATGGAAAGCCAGATGCCCACACTGAATGCCCAGACATAGGGAGACATAAATGACCCCATAAAAAAGATGCCAGGCTTTGACTACTACATCAGCAATGGGCAATCCTGAATAGGATTTGCACCTCATGGTATCTATTGGGACTCTGTATAAATGAGGCATTGTATCCTCCCCTCAGTGTGATTGTGAGGTCCTATGTGAAACTGTAGATCACATTGTGACCAGATGTGAGCTGCGGGCATACACTAGTCCAATGTCTGATATATATTTTAATATAAATGCTGCACTTCAATGGATAAATGGCCTTGCATATGCTAAATAAGTATATAATAAATATAGGATGCATAACAAAGAGTGCAAAGAGTCCTTTTCTTCTATTATTCCCCTGCTGGCTAAGGAACTCTGGTAGTTGAAGTCCACACATCTTAAAAGCTGCTGAGGCTGAAGAACAATTTGTCCGTTAGAGAGTGACAAATATCAGTATAACCAAACCAGTATAGTTAATATTTTTGGATGTCCGTATTGTTTTGAATTTGAACTATCCTTGAACCTCAAAGGCTCAGTGGTTAGAGTGCAGTAATGCAGGCTACTTCTCCTGTGACAGCCTTCTTCTGCCTGGAATTTGGCAGTTCAAATGTCACCAGGCTCAAGCTTGTCTCAGCCTTCCATCTTTCCAAAGTCAGTAAATTGAGGAACCAAATTGTTGGGGGCAATAGGCTGAATCTGTAAACCGCTTAGAAAGGGCTGTAAAGCACTATGAAGCAGTATATAAGTCTAAATGCGATTGCGATACTTAATAGCTGGATGTTACAAATGGTTTCCTTGGCCTTTTTTTAAAAAAAGAAAAAAACGGCCAAGGAAACCATTTTTTAAAAAATATTATTAATCAACAAAGATACAATACAAAAGAAAGAAAAAGAAAAAAACAACTAATAAACATCCAACGCTATCAACAAAAAGAAAATGAGTACAAAAAAGGGGGGGAAATCAAATACATCTAACATTAAACATAAAAAGTTCACCTCATCTCAATGCGGAAACATCTCAAAAAAGTAGTATGTTCTCCCCTTACATAACAAGTCTACAAATAGTTATAAACTGTACACAGAGAGAGAGTAGAGTAGAACAGAATTAGAATAGAATAGAATATTTCTTGGCCAAGTGGGATTGGACCTAAAAGAAATTTGTCTATATTAGACAAATTTGTCTACCTTGTGTGTATGTATTTCCGTGTGTGTGTGTGTGTGTGTCTATATCTAAATCGATCAAATTTGATTATATTGCTTTTTTCTGCTTTCCCCTGTATTAAATAAAGCAGCAACAACATTTATAACGGAGAGACAGAGCGTTGCTGTTCCTTTCCGTGCAAGTATCAAATCACTAAAGTATCCGCTATAAAAAAACCCACCGACTGTTACCTCAGTTCGTCCTTTCGGTCCACGGACCCCCCCCCTCGGTTATCCTTAGCGCGCTCCGAGGCTTCCTCGGGTGGGTGGGTGGGTGGGTGTGGGCGGCGGAGGGGGGTTTCCTTCTGCGATCCCATAAGGGGAGGGCAACCGTGGGCGCTCGGTGGCGGGGTTGGGCTTGGTGGCCGGCAAGGGGTCGGCAAGCGAAGCAAGAAGGGCGCCGTCCTCCCACCCCACCCACCCCCCGCGCACGCCCAGAACCGCCTCCCTCCCACCTTCCCGGCAAACCTCAGCATCTCCCGGCCCAGAGCATCCTTCGCTACTTGCCCCCCCATCCCGCTCCCCGAGTGTCCACACCCACATTCCCCCCACCCCGGACCGCGCACTGAAGTCCTGGGGCAGAGAAGCGGATGGAGGCGGCTTCGTCCCCGCGAATGTCGCCGCCCGATTTCCGCCGCCCGTCGCCAGGTAAGACGAAGCGGAGCCTGCCCTCCGGTGTGCCCGGCTGCGGTGAGTGAGGGCAGCAGGCGTGAGCCGGCTGGGTTTGCCCTGAGATCGTGCCGACCGCTCTTTCTGCTGCGGGGCGTTTCTGGGTAAGATCCGAAGCTGCTTCTATCCCCCCCCAGGCGGAGCGTTTTCCCCAATAGATGCCGCTGGGTGGTTTTTGCCGGGAAGGAAATGCGACAAGGCTCTCCGATTCCAGGTAACGCCTCCCTTCCTCCGTGCGATCGGCCAAAAAAAAAAAGGCTCGATTCATCTCATCGCAGGAGCCGGTGATGCTTGCTCGGAGGCTTCCCCACTTTCTCCCCCCCCTCCCCCGCCTCCCCCGAAGATCGATATTCCTTAAAAACATGGCAGATGTTTTCCCGACAAGGCGAGGGGGGGGAAAAGAAAGCATACAGACCCGCCTAGGCGGCTGTCAGAAGCCCCCACCTGACTGAAGTTGAAGACAGACAGACAGACAGACACAGACAGACAGATAGACAAGACACACAGACAGACACAGACAGGTAGACTGACACAGACAGACACAGACAGACAGACACAGACACAGACAGACACAGGCAGACAGATAGACAGACATGGACAGACAGACACAGACAGACAGATAGACTGACAGACAGACAGATAAACTGACACAGACAGACAGACAGACAGACACAGACAGACAGACAGACACAGACAGACAGACAGACAGACACAGACAGACAGATAGACAGACACAGACAGACACAGACAGATAGACAGACACACACAGACAGATAAACAGACACAGACAGACAGACACAGACAGACAGACAGAAAGACACAGACAGACAGACAGACAGATAGACTGACACACACAGACAGTTAGACAGACACAGACAGACAGATAGACTCACACAGACAGACAGATAGACAGACACAGACAGACAGACACAGACAGACAGATAGACACACACAGACAGATAGACAGACACAGACAGACAGATAGACAGACACAGACAGACAGATAGACAGACACAGACAGACACAGACAGACAGATAGACAGACACACACACACACATATATATAATTAGGTTGGTTGGAAGGATGAGGGTGACATACAATTGATTTGGCTTTGCCAAACGATAGATGTGGCTCTTGGTAACAGCCAGGCTGGCCAACAAAGGCTGAAGGCGAAGGATACGATTGCTTACTTGTAGGAGATGATTTATCATTTCATATATTGAATAGTTCGCAATGTTTACGGGATGCATGGGATGCAATAAGAATTCGGGACTGGAGTTCTCCCTTTAAAATTGACACAAGGAGTGTTGGACTGAAATACACCCAAATACAGCATACACCTATATTTTGGACAGCGGCATAGAGTGTCCAAAACTGGCAACTCTTAAACCTATTGTCAAGATCTAGCAGTGCAATCCAATGTGTGATGGGGAAAAAGTAAACAGCATCGAGTTCAGTGGTACTTACTCCTTGGGAACTGGAGTAGAATAGCACTCACTCATTTTCACATACAGGGTTTAGGAGTGTTTTTCCTCTTTTTGCATTCAGGGTTTGAGATTAGAGTAGTAAAATTTACGTGAATAAGATGTATTTTCAATTTCAAAGTGCTTCTGATATGTGACAAACACTGCCGGCAGACCTCAGATCATTTTTGTACAATCGTTTCTCGAAGATATGTAGTGCTGCAATTTATATAACTGTTGTGCAATGAGGAGGGAAAAAAACAAACCATACATTTACACTGATATAACTTGCTTAAGAAGAGACAGTTGCAGTCTTTGCTGCATATTCTAGATAGAATATTTTGATTTCAATTCTCTTTCTTACCTCAAAGATGTTTCATCCAAACTAATGCTGTATCTCTAGGCAAATAATGTATTAAAAAGCTAATCAGGGTTGTAACCCTGTTATGGAGTGGTGCCAGGGTAATCTGGAGTTTCTCTCCTTCTCTACTTTCCCCAATTGAAGTTTTCCATTCCTGCAATAATAACAAGGGTCAGTTCTGTTATTATATATAAAGTCTGTTAAGTTACCTTTGGTATATACTGTGCATTTATGTTTAATCATGACATCAGTGATACATCTTTGTTCATGTCTACTTGAGTTCAAAGAGCTTAACCTGACTAAGGAAGTGACTGAACTGTAGAGGTAATATTATTTCAGCCAATGCATAATGAGCTGGTTAACCGATTGCATAGTCAATCTTTTTGTAGTTTGGGTTGCATAGTTTGCTTGGGGAAATATCAGTACTAAGCTGCTTCATACAAAAAGTGTTAATTATAAAAATCCTTGTTAGTTGTCTTTGTCAACAGAGAACTGATGAATATAGTACTACAGTTCCACAGTAAAAGAGTTCTGTACACTATACATTTTAAACAGTGTGGTGTTCAACTCTCTAGATCAGGGAAGAGCAACTCTCCCTTTCTGGTGCCAATATGCCCACAGTGTCCTCTGAGGCTGCTTCAAAGGATCGCCAAAGGAAAATAGTCATAAAAACCCCTTTTAAACAGTGGTAACCTTGTGTTGCAGTGGTCTCAGAAATTTTCTCACAGGTAAGGTCTCCATAATCCCCTGAATTCTGGTGACCCAATGACACTTTTCAGATGATTTTGTTTATCTGCACCATCATGCAATGATAATTGTTCTCTGCTAGGGTTGCTAATCTTTTTGCAAACTAATTGTATTAATTGTATTCTATCCCTTGGTCTGCTAAAGCCATGCTTCCCACGTGTGGTCTTATTTCCTTCAGCTTTTAACCAGAGGCATATATTATACACTCATGTTTTGCCTTTTTTTTTTAGAGCTAACCATCTGGAGCTTTGTCTGGGTGATGTTTGTCTCAGACCTAGTTCTTACAGCAGTTATTTTGTTGACGGAATTACTGTAAATAAGAATAGAGAAGCAGTGCAGAACTTGCCCTTCCTAACTGCACCCCCCCCCTTCATGTCAATGTTGACTCCTTCTTACTGCCTAGATTAGTTCCTTTAGTGTGTTTTTTTGGCAGGGTTTTTTGGAAGTAGTTTGCCATTGCCTCCTTACTCAGGCTGAAAGAAAGTGACTGGCCAAGGCCACTCAGCTGGCTTTGTGCCTGGCAGGACTAGAGTTCATACTCTCCCACTTTCTAGTCTGATTTCTTAATCATTACACCTGACTAACTCTGTCTGTCTGTCTGTCTGTCCATCTGTCTGTCCATCTGTCTGTCCAACCGTCTATCTATCTATCTATCTATCTATCTATCTATCTATCTATCTATCTATCTATC